AATTAGAAATTGACTATGTTTTCTATTCCTATTTCTTTTCCTCAGATTAGTTAAGATTTAATCATTATACACGTGGCATTATATTTCTATATATGACTCCAAAAGAATATTTGTTGAGATTTCCAGTTTAAATCATGCTACTTATTTGTAAACAAAATAGAAACCCATCCCATTCTTAGAATATTAACCTGATGGAAAAATTTGGAGGTCATGTTTGAAATATGTGTATGTTTAATTAAACAAAAGCAAAATTATTTTAAAATACAATAAATTTCACTACATTTAACAATATTAAAAAATACTTTGGTATAGTTTTTTTCAAGCTTTATTGAGATATAATTTACATATAATATTGTATAAGTTTAAGGTGTACAACATGATGATTTAACACATGATAACTTTGATATGTGAAATGATTACCACAGTAAGGTTAGTTGGTTAACATAGCCATCATACTACACAGTTATATATATATATTTTTTTTGTGGTGAAAACTTTTAAAATTTATTCTCTTAGCAACTTTCAAGTATACAATATGGTACTGTTAACTATAGTCACTATGTTGTATTTTAGATCCCAGAACTTATTAATCTTACAACTTGCAAGTTTGTACCCTCCGTTCACCTTCACTCTTTTCTCCCATCCCCACCCGACCCTAGCAACTACCAGTCTACTCTCATAATAGCATTTTTAACATCCATGTTCCATTTACAACTTTTTACAGGAAGCTGGAGCAAAGTGACTGGGGGTCTTTCTAGTTTCTTAATATCTCACCTTCCATCTGTAAATGAGAACACCCAACCCGTCAGCAACAGGTGCTAAGATAGGGGGAAGCTGAGGAAAACAAAACAGTAATGAACTGCCAAGGTCAAAAGTCTTGATGAACTAGCTCTGATGTGTGCCTCTCACCCCCTCTTCTGGCTACCGAAGGGCTGTGAAGGGCAATGTGAGAATCACCCTTATATTGACCACTCTTAACCTCATATCCTTAAGAGCAAAAAAGGTTCCTTTTCACATTCTTGGAAACAGCAACTTCCTTTTTATAAAGAGGAGGTAGTTTAGGATATGGTTAACACAATTGACTCTGGATTTGGCCTGCTAGGTTATATCCTAGCTCTGTCACATACTTGTTATTTGATCATGGGCCTGACATTGAACCTCATTTAGGCTCAGCTTCTTTTCTTGCAAAATGAGGCTAAAAACAACCTTAGTGTAATGTTTTGTGGATTAAATAAGATAATAAGGCACAGAGTAAATTCATAATAAATATTGATTATTATATTACAAAAAACTTTATAATTTTCAAAGCCTTTCATGAGCCATGACCTCATTTGATTTTTCCAACAATCCTTCTAAGTAGGACTGGGTTTGTATCAGCTTTGTTAGAGATGAGAAAAAATAATTTATAGATTAACACAAAAGGTCCTATACCTGGACAAGGACAAGTCAGGTGTTTCAATGAATACATAATATTTGCCTCCACTGAATACTCATCATTAAGTAGATGTATTTATTGAGAATACTATATTTCCACCTTATTAACTGAAAGTTTAAATCTTCCCAAGCATATGGTCAATTGTTGCTGTGAGATTTGTTATTTGATGAGTTTCTGTCAATGCATTCTGTACCGTTACCACTTTTTGTAATGTCGCCCGCAGTATCTGGTCAGGGATGACCTGATTGAGTGGTGAATACAACGAGAATTAAAATTTAAGCAGCACAATGACAGACATGATTCAAAGTCCCATCACCTCAGAGCAATCCTGACATATCAGCTAAGGCATGCATCATGCAAAACATTTGCTTAAACATTGAAGATCTTTTAAAATCTAGGCACATGGTCATCTCATACTTATTTACTTTTGTTATTTCATTTGGTTACAGTTTTGGGCAACAGGTGTTAATTCTTGTGTTTGTACTTGAAACTAAACTTATGCTGGGTTTTACTTCCCACACTTGGCGATTCTGTCAGGCTTTAGTCTGGGCATTGTTGCTGGAAGTATCAGCTCTCTGAAAGCAAAGAGTGCTTAGAACCACCCAGGACGGTAGCTTTAATGTTCAGATATCAGCAGTATTTGTGTTTTGGAAAAGGATATTCATAGAAAATCCATGGGGCTAGGACATCAGGTAAGCATTCCCTCAGAAAATATAAAAGGTTTTATGTCAGAACAACCAAAGAAATGTTCTAAAGAAATAACCAATAAAGCAGGAAATCAGGTTGGAAAACACATTTAAAAAATTGATAAAACTCATTCATATTGTTCAGAGTTTATGCAGAGTCAAATATGTGGCTAGTAACATAGTATATTATAATATGGAACATAGATATTAACTGGGATAGTATTGAGGGATTAAATACTATGATTGTAATGACTATAATACTACGCTAAAATAGTTCCACTTAAACGTCAGCCCTACTCAAAGTGTAAAGAACAGCTAGATTTCCAATCTTATATGATTTATGAAAGAAAGTGTAAAATTCAATTAAGTTTTGTTCTTTATCGAGTTTTCAGAAAGTTAATGAACACATATAACAACTCGATTAATTTCTTTAAAGTTCATTTTCTCTGCTTGAAAAACGTTTATAACTTATATGAGGTAATATATCTAGAAATATCATTACATGATTAAAAGCATCATAATATGAAATGTTTTAATGCACATTTTAATTAGTCTTCTTACCTATTGGGATGAAATTAGATTTTATAAAGTTCTCAAGTTGCATCACATTCTTTGGCTATGTTATAATATCTATAAATATGCACTGATTTCATATTGTTGAATGCATATCATTAAAGCCATTTAAATTCTTTTGCAAAAATATGCTTCTTTTCTTTGTTCTCTTTCCATTAGGAACGGGCTCTCTGAATGAAAGATAATCTGTTTCTTCTAGATTCATTTAACTTCTCCTTTTTTGGTTTGTGTCCCTTATCAACATCCATCACATCTTTAATTCTACAATGAAATAGTGAAGATGGAGCATATCCCATCTTTACAGAGACTCTCTAGGAGTATTTCCTTCTTTTGCTTAGCTGTACTAGTTCACACTAGCATTAATTCAAGATATAGATGAAAGGATAAACCAGTTTTCAAGATACAGAAAAGCATCACTTCTCTGCTATGAAGAAGCAATCAGTTTAGTTTTTGGATTTAAAAAGTGATTTTTTGTCTTTTCTTGGAGACTTCTTACCTGCCAAACTAAATTTTTATTTATTTACTTATTCTTACTCTGTTCTTTGGGGAAGAAAATTAATGCCTCTTTTCATTAGTGGCATACTTCTTTTTCTCCTTAAGAAGACACATTTTTTTCCTTTCCAAATGCTTGTAGTCCCAGATACAAAGGGATGATATTGTCTTATAAATCACAGTAAATATAAAGAGGAGTAGCTTTGACACTGATTCATAAAATGGGGAGTCAAAGAATAGAGGCAATTGGAATTATTGCAGTGGCTATAATCATGCTTATTGTATAATGTAGTCAGTGTGCATCTATAAGATATATTAACTAGTATTGCTAGAGATGAAAAATTTGATTTCCTCATAATGAACTGTATGCATGTAGTCCTCAAGACAGAAAAACATTTACTGGAAGATATGACATTCATTTTTGTCTCCTAAGTGGATATAAATTAAGAATAGTTCCTGATCAATATTAGATTCTACGACCAACTATTTTCCAAATATGACTTCAGTTACCTACTAACTCAAGAGAAAATGTCTGTCAAGATCTATTTCTACTCTGAAACATAAAATTTCATGTTTAATTGGAATGCTATAAAAATTTGGAATATATTTACTTAATATCATCATATACATCTAAGGGTGATCTGATTCAATATTTATCTCAGGAATATTTTTAAGAATCTACAGTTATACTCAAATAGTCAATGAATTATTTATTTATAGGTTAGCTTGGCTGTTGCAAGTAAACAGCATATTAAATGTCAGCAAGTATTAAGTTAGCAAAATTCAGATTTATTAAGCACAGAACTATTGGCTTAAGTGAAATGATCACCTCCTAGGCACTTTCACCCACTAGTTTTCCATATAAGGCAGGGTTCCCTAGATGAAGATTTTCAAACTGTCATTCAGACCAATCAGAGCCCAATGAATGAGGAGATGGTGCACATTTGATGGGTCACATTGCCAAGAGGAAACAGGCACATCCATGGCGTCATTCTTCCAAAAGCGGATAATCTTTTGGCAGTGGAGAACTTTGATCACAGCAAAGTGTTGACATGAAAATCAATCACATTCTCTTTAGTTCAAGATCAGTATGCAAGAGGTCAAAGACATAAGCTCAAAGCCGTATAACTAGCAAGTTTTACCATATTTGGGGGGGGGGTTAGTTTCATTTAGAAGCAACTCACATTCTGAATTAAATAATGTATATATAAATAAACAAGATGACAGTTATAGTCACTGAAACACTTGAGTGCGTAGTTGTCTGCACTGGGATGTCATTTAGTGTGGTATCAAACTTTATTAAGCAAAGCTGGAGGGGGAATTGAATTGCAAAAATCTCTTTTTCATATGAAATAAAGCAGATGTCAAATAAATACATCTCGGACAACTGGGTCATCAGCTGTTTTTAAACTTTTGGAAACAAGTAGGGACTAAAACTTTCCTTTTGATGTAGCTTTAAGGAAGAGATCCAGTTTCCATAGAGATTTTATTAAAAAAAAAAAAAAAGAAACCACTGGTTTAAATGTTTGTAAAATTATACATTTTGCACTTCGACAATTTAGGGAAAAAAGGAAACAAACAAAAAGTAGAGCAAATACAGGTTCCAAATATAATGCCATACTCATAATAATTTTAGTGAAATTATATGCTACAGTTTATTTACTTTTTAAATCAAGATTCTCTTCTACCCAAATCCACCAGTTTGCTTAGTAATTCCATTCCTCTCAATGAAAAATATGCCCCTCTGAAAGTTCCTAGTGTTCCCTACTGTTGAAAGATGTTTCAGTGACCAAACAGTTCACCCTTTTCATTACCTTAATGGCAGAGAGGTCAATCTTTGCTTCTTTGGGTGGGGCAGGTGCAGGTGCAGGTGCCGGGGCAGGGGCAGGGGCTGGGGCAGCAGCGGCAGCAGGTTTCTTCACGTCCTTCTTTGGTGCCATTGTGTTTAAAAGGATGGGTTTAAAAAAAAAGAGAAGGAGAACCTCCTAAAGAACCTGTCAAACTGATTCTTGGAAGAGGAGTGGTGGTTCGCCTGATCCACAGACTGGTGTCTTGAGGTGGACCCAGAGCATTAAATGGTATAAGGACATGCATATATAGTTCACTTAGTGCCTAACAGCATCTTGACACTTGAGGCTGGATTGGACAGTTTGCTAGTCCAGGGGGATGGCATTCCGGCCCAGACTATAAATGGAAACTAAAGGGTCAGGGCTTCATCAATTTTTTTAACTCCTCGTGTGCTGTTCTTCCCCCCTCCCTCTACCTCCATGTATAAAGGAGAAAGAAGTATGACAAAGCCAGCCAGATTCAGATCCTTTGGTGAAAGTAAAGTAGATTGACTGATCCTTTCTCTTGGTAGAATGACAGTTCTGCTGAAGTTGTAAATCTTTTTCCCCCCTATGCCTAAGAAACTTTCCTGAAGGATTTGATTTCAACTTGGAATTTTGGCAGAGGCAGTATCACCAGCTTTCACGCAGCTTATTTTCTCATGCCCCTCCTCCCTTGCCATAATTTGCAAGAAAATGTTTGTCAGCAAAGAGGTGGTGGTGTTTAAAAATAAAAAGCAGACGTATAAGGAAAGCCCATTAAGTCTTAAAGTGGCTTCCCTTCTAGGGAGTACAAACTCTGACTCTCTCTCTCTCTTAAATGGTGGTGAATTGTATGCTAAGAAAAATAATTAAAAACCCCTTCCTGTCACTTAACTTTTTTCTATAATGAAAAATATCAAATGGGATGGAAATAACAGGAGGATTTACCCTCTTGCCAAACACTTTTTCTAAGAGTTAAGTAACTTTCAATCACAGTAGATATTTATCCATTTTACTTCCTAAATGGAACTAAGCCTAATTATTTATCACCTAAAATTTTTATCCATACTAGGGAGATAAGATAAAATTTTAAATTTACCTAAGTGGCCAGAGAGATAAAGAGAGAAAAGGACTTTATCAGTAGGTGGAAATTTTGGTGAGTAACTTGAAAGTTTTTCCTTTTCTGTCCTTGGCTTTCTCAGTTTGCAAGACTAGACTGTCATATGAAGAAACACGTGATTAGCCAATGTGCTAATCCTGTGATTAGCCAATGCACAACCCTCACTTCTGTTAACTTGTGAGATATATAATTACTGAGTAGTCATTAATCAGTAAAAAACCAACAAACAAAAACAAAACCAAAAAAATCCAATAGCAAGTTTGGGATTTTTTTTTTTTTTTTTTTTTTTTTGCGGTACGCGGGCCTCTCACTGTTGTGGCCTCTCCTGTTGCGGAGCACAGGCTCCGGACACGGACACGCTGGCTCACCGGCCATGGCTCACAGGCCCAGCCGCTCCGCGGCATGTGGGATCCTCCCAGACCGGGGCACGAACCCGCGTCCCCCGCATCGGCAGGCGGACTCCCAACTACTGCGCCACCAGGGAAGCCCCAAGTTTGGGATTTTAAAAGAGCAAATTTACACATTACATATATAAGAATATATAAACATTATATGTATGTTTACTTATACATATAAAGTATACATATATAAGTGTATATGTGTAAACACACACATTATATATTCTAATTGTTGAATATAATTGTGTTTAAAGATATAGATTTATTAGCCATTTTCTTTTGGTCTGATATAAAAGCATTCCCGAACTTGGGGAAGGTCACTGTTCCTCTCCATATATTATAGCTAAGAGGGATTAAGACTCATATGAGCAATCATTCATTAAGTCACCACTAACCCGCAGTTAGTCTGATCTCACATAGTGGCCTGATCTACTGGATTATGTTATCCACATAGATTCGGGAGAAGCTTTTTTATTAGCTCCCTCCCCCATGCTACCCCACATCAAGGGCTCAATTATTACCTAAATTAGCTGCTCATACTCATTTCTGACATGTAAGACAGTCATGAGAATCAGAACATATTTCACCTAAGCATATTCCTTGTCTCAAATTTAAATAATTAGAATTAAGAAAATAATGCAGTGTTTTATAATAGAAACTATTTTTGTAAATAGCAGAAATTTGTCCACCAGTTTGTTTTCCTTTGGATTATCAAATGAATTACTGAGTGATGGCTATGCTTTAACTTTAACTCACAGCCTATATTAATACTTTGCTCCATGTGCAGACATCCCTTAATATCTGTGACAGTCTTACAAGTAAAAGAGCTTTATGTCTTCTGAGCAAAACGATTTGAAATTGGAACACTTTATTTCATATTAAGGGGGGGAATGGCTTGATCTCACTGTATGTCTAAATCCTTTGTGTTAGGAAATAATGTATCATAGGTTTATAAATTCACAGAGGAAAAATATGTTGGTGTAAAGTTTTCTTCTTGAAAAGTGGAAATCACAAAGGTACATTGCCATTCATATCTTATCGAGGGTACATGCTATCAACATGACATTACTCTTGATATTAACCTTGACCATGAGGCTGAGGTGGTGTTTGACAGGCTCCTCCTCAAAATCCACAACATAGTCTAATCATGTGAAAAACACCAAACTGAAATTGAGGGACATTTTACAAAATTCCTGAGGAGCACTTTAAAAAATAGGATTATCAAGAACAAGGAAAGTCTAAGAAACTTTCACAGCCTAGAGGAGCCTAAGGAAACATGACGAGTAAATGTGGTATCCGAGTTGGAATCCTAGAATAAAAAAGGGACATTAGGTAGAAACTTGAATAAAGTTTCTAAATAAAGTTGAATAAAGGAAATTTGAATAAAGCATGGACTTCAGCTAATATTAGTGTATCAATATTGGTTCATTAATTATGACAAATGTACCATATTAAAGTAAGATGATAAGAATAGAGGAAACTGGGTGTGGAGTACATGGGATCTCCCCTCAACTTTTCTATAAATCTACAACTATCCTGAAAGAAATAATTTATTTAAAAAACCCATGAACTAAAAGAAGTAAAACTAATTCACCCTGAAGCTTCAAAGAAAGGAGGTGTAAGATCTCATTCCTACTTAGTCAACAATCTTTATGTTTTGGCCAGGCATATTATAGAAGGAAGGTCTAAAGGTGTACACAATTTATAGCACTGAGGCCTTTTTTGAAATGGTTAGTCCTATTGGACACGATATATCACTAAATGTTACTTGGTTAGGTGTTACTAGTTACACACAAATTATATGCAGAGAAAGAAGAATTTAGAGCCTATCTGCAACTATGATCCTAAGTAATTTAATATAATAATCAGAATCAAAGTGAAATTTCTCTCTTGACCCTTCCTTTTTGTAGGCCCATGTGACAAGTCTTACTTGTGAGGAGAAGGAAGGGTAACAGCTGAGGAATCATGTTCTTAGTGGCAGCTGATTTGCCCTGTGCTCAGATCTCCAAGTGTTTCTCATGCTTAACTGTACCATTTACTGTATACATTTTTTAGAGTCTTATCAAAGTGTAGGGGAATGGCAGAAAAAGGACAAGTTCACTACTGAAGGTGGTTCATCACATTCTACCTTCTAATCCCTTCGTATTTTTTTTTTTTTACTACATGGTCAAGATTCAACACACATCAATCTTTTTCTTAAATGATTGTGTAGGTTTTTAGGTTCTTTTTGGCTAAGATAAAATATTTGTTTTCTATTTGGAAAGTTTGGGCCTGGAAAATGAGAGCAGACAGTACTTCCCCTTCACTTCATTATCACAACCTAACATGATTATCCACTGACCAGGCAACCACAGGGATTTATTTATCACACATATTGACCACCTATAATACGCTAGGCCCTGTTATAATAGCATTAGGCTTACTGGGTGAACAATATGGATTTGGTTCCTGTTCTCTTGGAGTTCTGCTGAAGATTGGGGGCTGTGAAAGACAGTAATCAACAAAATGAAATGATGGCAAATTGTCACAACTGATAAAGAAAGCAAACCAAGTGCTGTGAAAATATTTATTTGAGATGGGGTGGACACCCACTTTAGATCTCTGGGGAGCTACCATTTTAGCTGAAAAGGAGACCCTTTCCTAGTACTTGGTTTTTACTTTTAGATTTTCTGAGACTTAGAGCAGAAGAAGTAATGATAGTACAAAACTTGCAATTATATGGAATTTAACCATTTGTAAAATGAGTTCAAAATGTAAAATGTATATATCCTTCAAGTCAGCAATTCGAATTCTTGACAATTAGTAATGACTCTCTACCCTGGTTGGATATTAAAATTACTTAGGGAGATTTTACTAAATCCCCATGCTTGGGTTCCACTTTCAGAAATTCTGATCTAACTGGTCAGGTTGGGGAGGGGCTGGGGAGCATGGGCAGCAGTATTTTTTTTTTTTTTTTTTTTGCAGTACGCGGGCCTCTCACTGCTGTGGCCCCTCCCGTTGCGGAGCACAGGCTCCGGAGGCGCAGGCTCAGCGGCCATGGCTCACGGGCCCAGCCGCTCCGCAGCATGTGGGATCTTCCCGGACCGGGGCACGAACCCGTGTCCCCTGCATCGGCAGGCAGACACTCAACCACTGCGCCACCAGGGAAGCCCGAGCAGCAGTATTTTTAAAAGCTCCACAGATGATTCTTATGTAAAGCCAGTTTTGAGAAACATTAGCCATAATGAAACACTCATGCCTATGAGACAGGATCCTGTACAAGGGTGTTACTACAGCATTTTTTCTAATAGGCATTTTTGTTGTGATCTTTTTCCTATCAATGAATGCTGGTTAAAATGACATGGTACATGTGTTTTTTCTATGCAATTCCATGGAATAATGAGGTAGGTAAAAATATACTGATATGGAAAAATCTCTAAGACATGAAAACAGCAAGTTGCAGAATATGATATATAGTATGACACCATGTATATAAATATACCCACAAAAATCTACATAATTCCATATGCATGTATGAATACAAGTCTAAGTTGGCTACTGTTCAGACAGGCGAGAAAGGAGTTTGGGAACTTCAGAAAGATCCAAGCTGAGTGTCGATCGAGAGATCATAGGGAAAGATTAGGAAAACTACCTCCCATGCTGCCTCAGAACACTGAAGCATGATATCATGATTTAGGACATGAATTTGAAAGATGATGTTACTGTGCTTCTCAAAATGCCCATGGCTGTGTATGTTGC